GGACCTGTCTCTTATACACATCTAGATGTGTATAAGAGACAGGTATAGATGACGTCATTCACAACCAATCACCGGGGGAAATCCACGCACCCGTGGAAGACCCCATGGGGAACCCCGGATGTACCGAGGCAAGATCGACATAAATCCCCAGTTCGACGCAAATCACCAGAGCGATCGGGAGAATGCTACTCTTGCGGGGAGGAAGGTCACTATAGAAATGATTGCCCAAACCGACAAGCCGTGGAAAGCTCTCTCAAGAAAACAGTGAGGATAAGGAGTCCAGGCCGTGAATCTAATTTGTCTTTAAACAATTAAGGGTCGAGTCCGACCATAAATCATTGTGTAACAAACAGGGCGAACTCGCTCTTATTAGTGTGGGTCCAGTTCGTAATGAGGATCTGGAATCATTAATAGTTCAGAGAGTAAAATCTGATTCATTGTTACACACCAGAGTTACCATCGATTCGACAGTGATTGATGCGGTAGTAGACTGTGGGGCTACCGTGAGTATTATAGCTGAGAACGTTTATCGTGCGCTTAATCCTGAACCACCTACGGTGGGTAAAATTAGACTCTTAATGGCAGCCAAAGGTGCTTGCATGCTAGGGCGAAAAGTCGGCCCGGTACAACTCAAAGTGGGAACAACCAACTACCCCATGATTTTGCATGTGGCACCAATAGCAGATGATATGCTATTGGGTCTAGATTTTATGAAGGGTAATCAGGCGGATTTAAATATAGGTGAATTGAAGTTATAAATTGGCGACAGCACGGTTCCATTGTACAGCACGAACGAAACGTGTCCGCCATCAATATGTAGAGTAGTTGTGCAGAAACGGCGAGTGATACCATCTAATTCTATAACATTTGTAAAATGTCATCTTGAAGCTGATCATTATATTATTGAACCTATCTACATCAAAGTTTAATAATACCCAAAACTCTACATACCTCAGGCGATTCGCCTAAAATTTGTGTGGTTAATACCACTGATAGGTATATTACGTTAAGTCAGGGACGTGGAATAGGTACTGCGGAGGAAGTGGATGTCCAGGTTCCGGATATTAGCTCATCTCCATCTAATTCTGGTACCGGTAATGATGAAATGGCGAATACGCCAGAGCATGTAAGGGCGATGTGTAAATCGTCAACGGAAGTCTTGCCGGAGGACCAGAAGGAACAAGTACATCATCTCCTTACTGAATTCAGTGATGTATTTGCGAAGAATCAGTTCGACATTGGGGAGGTACCCCATATTGAGCATCGCATCGACACCAAAGATGCACCGCCGGTTAGACAACGTTTACGGCGTACTCCACTACATTTTGCGGGAGAAGAGAAAAAAGAGATACAATGCTTCAAGGTGGTATAATTCAGCCTTCTAATTCTGAATGGGCGTCAGCGCCCGTCTCGGTTCGCAAACGTGATGGCAATGTTAGATTTTGCATTGACTATCGCGCTTTAAACAACGTTACAGTTAAAGACGTTTATCCACTACCAATACTTGATGATTTGCCTAGATACTTTAGCTGGAAACCAATGGTTCTCTAAATTAGACGCAATATCTGGGTATTGGCAGGTCAACCTGAACGCCGAGGACCGCAGGAAAACTGCGTTTGTAACCAAGTATGGTCTTTACGAATTCGTTAAAATGCCGTTTGGTTTATGTAATAGTCCGGCGACTTTTTCAAGAGTAATCAGCATGGTTTTACGCGGGCTGAGTTGGCAAACAGCTCTAGCGTTTTTGGATGATGTTGTAATTCTAGGCAAATCATTCGAAGATCATTATCACAATGCAAGAGAGGCTTTAGGGCGTTTTCGCCAATTTAATCTTAAGCTCAAACCTAAGAAATGTATTTTCTTTCAAAAGAAGGTAGAATTCTTGGGAAGAATGGTATCAAAAAATACGATTGAGATGTCGGATACCGATATTGAGGCAATCAACGACTGGCCAACACCAAGAAGCTATAAAGATGCCCAAAGATTTCTTGGATTGGCAAATTATCATCGTTCGTTTATTCCGCATTCCGCGGAATTGACTCGATCATTGTACACCATTGCAAAGAAGGGGGAATTCCGCTGGGAAGCTGAGCAACAATCGGCTTTTGAGGCGATCAAGAATAGGTTAAAGCAAACCCCCAGTACTTTCTCTTCCAAATTCACAGGACATGTTTGTCTTGGATACTGACGCCTCTGATCAAGCGATAGGAGGGGAATTGCTACAGATCCAACATGGTCAGGAGAGGGTAATTGCATATGCCAGCCTTGCATTATCTGCAGAACAACGTCGTTATTGTACGACGAGGAAAGAACTTCTGGCTATAGTTAAATTCACACGACAATTCAGGCATTATCTTCTGGGTAAACCATTCAAGGTGCGTACTGATCACAGTAGTCTCGCATGGCTTCTTCGGTTTAAGGAACCGCAGGGTCAACTGGCTCGCTGGATTGAGGAACTCAGTCAGTACGTGATGGTGGTCGAACATCGACCAGGGAAGAAACATGTTAATGCTGACGCATTGTCGCGAGCGCCTGAAAAGGCGAATCATTATAAGCATGGAGTCGATCTTGACGATTTGCCTTGCATTATTGGTTGAGTAAAGACAGAATGTGTCTAAGGGATGGTATCGTTTTCATCAGAAATAAGCACACTGAAGATCAGTTGTTGTTATTACCCAGGGATTTGGTCAAAGAAGTGCTATATATGTACCACGATTTACCATCTGCTGGACACCAAGGCGCTAATCGTACTAAACTTCGCCTTAAACAAAGATATTACTGGACGGTATGGGATGACTGGCGAGATCGAACGCTATGTCACTGGCTGTGAAATCTGTAATCACCATAAGAAAGGAAATAGAAAATGAGGGCATTTCCAACATGTTAATTTTCATTCGGGTATTCCGATGGAAAGTGTACATGTGGATTATGCAGGTCCATATCCTAAGTCCGATCGTGGGAACATTTATGTTCTTATGGTGGTTGATCAATTCACAAAGTGGGTTGAAGCGTATCCAGTACCATCTCAAACGGCGAAATCAACTGCTGTATTGTATTGGTAAGAGAATTCTTCTCTCGTTTCGGAATGCCTTTTCAACTGCATTCCGATCAGGGTGCGAATTTTGAGAGTGATCTTTTCAATGAGCTGTGTAAAATCCTGAAAATCACAAAGACGCACACTAACTCCATACCGACCTTCTTCAAACGGTCAGGTCGAACGATACAATCTTACGGTTATGAATGCCGTGCGCTGTTTCGTCAGCAAGCAACAAAGGGATTGGGACGTATTCTTGCCCCAGATTACTAGTGCAATCAGAGCTACAGTTTGCCGGAGTACTAACTTTACGCCTAATATGATGATGTTGGTAAGGGAGGTGATTACACCCCCGGATTTAATGTTTGTTCCAACGCAGGAGGCGGTTAATGTAAATCAGGCGTCTTATATCACACGCCTAACAGACAATATGAGATTAGCACATCATATCGCCAGGACTAACATTAAGTCTATGCAACGAAGAAATAAAAGGAATTATGATCTCAAACACCTTGAACGTACTTACGCTATTGGCGATAAAGTGTACGTTCTTGATCAAACGGTGATTAAAGGGAAAAATAAGAAATTGCTTCCGCCATGGAAAGGGCCAGGCGTTATCATCAAGGTGCTCACGCCATTTGCATTTCGAGTTAGGATGAGGAATAAGTTCTTGGTGATTCATCATGACAAAATCAAAATGTGCAATGATCATATATTGCCAGATTGGATAAGCAAAATCGATCTCGACCCACAGTCTCCATTACTGAGTGATGCGGATAAAGATGACCAATTATACTGTGTTTGTAAGAGGACTTGGGATGGTCGTTTTATGATCGAGTGTGACTATTGCGGCGAATGGTATCATGGTGCATGTGTAAATATTACACCTGCTGAGGCCATCGATATCGATAGGTACAAGTGTACTCGCTGTGAAAAGAAATTATAAATTGAACGTGTTTTGATAATCTTTTGTTTTTCAGAAATGTCTTCAGATAAAAATGAGGCGAATTGCTGCCTTATGGAAGTAGAAGAGGCAAGTGACGCCGCTAATCAACTTCAACCTGGTACGACGTTTACGTTTATCCGGAAGGCACGGATACTTTCAACAGGCGAATTTCCAGCCCAACGCCAACTGGGATCTAAAAAACCAACCTATTCGCCTACGACTTACGGGTTTGCCATCACTGCTGCCCACCGAGATGATGTTCTATGTGTCGGATAGAATCCCAAATAATAAGCCGATGAACGGAACTGTGGTCATGGGACCAGATTTGGATGGCGTGTACGCCTGTTCCGTTAAGTATCGAAATCGAGATGGACTCAAAAAACTGCTGGAGGTGGAAGCTGCGAAACAAGTGGTAGATTCGTCTCCGTTTGCCAGTAAGGATGTGAGAGTCTCGGGGAAGGGGCATTTCGTCCAGATTTCATCCGATAAGGAAGGGCGTTTCGCCCGAACTTCATCCACCAAGGAAGGGCATTCTGCCCGTTCCAGTTGCAGCACGCCTTAGGTGAAGGGACGTTCGAGTAGATATTCGGCATCTTATTCGGCGAAGAGTACAATTCAGCGCCAGATACATTCAAGGCGTCCATTCTTGTGCCCGGTATCTGGTTGTGGCC